ACTGTGCAAGTGGCTGGTCTCAATTCGAGATCAAATATGACCACCAGATTAGCCAGGGATGTTGTCCCCCGTTTTGGGAACGAGGTCTGAAGCCGCATGCCCAGCTGATGCAGCACTTCTCCTGCAGCGTCATTCTCTGTGCTCCTCTGCTAGTGTCTGCTAAGGCTTGGCCTTTATCCCCATCCATTTTTCTTACAGGTGATCCCATATTCTTCATGGCTTTCACTTGTATCTCTGACTAGCTCTTCTTCCTTGGCCATTCACTTATCTGCACCTTCCCTGAGGACTGAGTTCCCAGATAAAACTCAGTCATGTACTATCTAGTGTGCCAGAGTAGTGAGCAGATGGTGTGCTCTGTCTGCTCTACCTACATAACCCATCGCATGAGCCTGCAGTAAACTCTCCTTCAGTTGTCATTGCAGATAACACTACATGTCTGGCGTGAATGCTTTAAGGGAGAAGTCACCTGTACTTAGGTGTGATAGTACATTATCCGGAACACCAAAGTTTTGACTACAGACACTACTGCTCACTATATGGTACAAAAATAAAAATCTTTCTTCCACGTACCAAGATGTATAACCTTGATGCCTCTTTTCCCCTTCCGCACTGAGGCTTTCACAAACCAGCCCATTCTTCCTTTGTAGTTATTCTCTTTCCCTTTTATGTTCAAGCTGTAGTATTTCCCTCCTCAAATAACACAATTTCATTCTTCTCCCTTATGGCCCCTGCCATATTGCTTATGCTGTCTGGTGCAAATAAGTGCACGTGAAAGCATCTTCACTGCCTGTTTTCTTACCATTTCAATCTCCTTATCCATCACACTGCTTCCATCCTTTTGTACCCACTCTGAGCTCTTCATCCTTCACAAAATCTACCACCCTTCTTAATATCCCATAAAACCCTGCCCCTGTTTGCGTCCTGTCTCTTGAAGCCCTCGCTCCTCCCTGGCTTATGCACTCCCCTGTGCTATCTTTGTCAAGCTTCTGGTTTTTTTCCTCGTAAAGATAATTAATGCCTTTCTCATCCCCATTCACTGCTGGTTCTGTCCCACCTCATTAAGACTATTCTGAAACTCACCCACCAAAATTACTTCTCCGCTGACCCTTCTGGCTGAAATGACTCCACCCGCTCCAGCCTCCTTATCTACGCTGAGAACCTGCACACTCCCTGCTAAAATCAATTTACATCTAGGATCATTTAACTTTTTTTTTTTTTCTTCTTTCTCAGTTTTTACTTTGTTGTTATTTTACCTAGTTCTTTCAGGTACTTCACAGAAATAACCTACAATCACAATCTCTGAAAAACCAAGCACACATAACTGTCCTGTGCTGCAGTCCCTCCTAACAGGACTGCATCCACTGTCTTGCCTTTCCTTGATGCCTAGATGATGACATGACTGTGCTTAGCCACTGCCTGTCTTTAATTCAACGGAGCTGTTAACTTCTAGTGCAACCTGAGCAACCTGACTCTTGCCAAGTCCCATGTTTTGGCCCCACCTTTCATTCGCCCTTAGTATCTGCATCCTATGCATTTCATGTGTGATGCTGCTACTGCCTCTCCGCCGTGTACCAGCTGAACTTTGCCAGCTGTTTGGTAAACCCTGACCCGCTTTGTCTGCCACGTGAGAGATTGGAGAGGATATGAGGATGCACGTGGGAGAATCTGCTGTCTCACCAGAAGCAGCAGCCTAGTGCAGCAGAACCTCATCTCTCATGTGGTCCAATAAGGTCTGAAGCCTGCTGGTAACTCATGCGCGTCCATCGCCTGACCTGATGCGCGCCTTTGTCACACGGTTGGCAGTGCCGGTCTCGCACGTAGCAATTGGGAGAGGTCGTCACTGAGCTACGAACAGTGTGCACCGGGAGCAGGATCTGTTCATAAGGGTCTGTGAGTGAAGTTTTGGTAAAAGACTTAGTCTGTGTTGAAATGAAACACTAGTCTTTTTTCTTCTTGCTCCCCAGACACCTAATGAGAACACGCAACCTGTAATTTATACTTTGCCAAAAATTTCGGACACCTAGAGAGGTTAGCGTAAGTATTACAATAACTTGGGAAGGATTAATTGAGGATGCATGCCATTTTGTGAGGTGTTAGGTCCCGATTAAATGCTCTTTACCGTGTAGCCACATTTTATTACAACTTACATATGTTTGGAACACTGATAGAAAAGAAAGCATGTCACCTATTTACAATCACTACACATTTACATTATGTTATTTACAGATAATGAATTTAGTAATATATATGAGCAGAAAATATAGCAAATATCAATATGAAACTGTACAGGGCTTAATCTCACGTACTTTACTGTGGTTGCATTTCACTGTAATAATAAATACAGTTCTATATTTACACATTTTACTTTAAAAATCTATTAAATGAATTTTAAAAATTTCAAGTTTAAAATATCTGATCAAAATATTTCAAACATGCTTATAAAAATAAGACACAAAGCCTTTAGGACTTTCTGCAAGCTAAAAAAGTTCTGATAAAAGAAGCTTTCTTTAACTAGTCTTTAGAATTATAACATTATTTTGCTCCTCAAATCACTTTACAAACTTCTTAAATATAGCGAGCTGAAAGGAATTTCACTGACATTAAGCAGTGCAGCACAGATGGACCCCAGTTAAATTAAAGCTAAGTAAACACGGTAATAGGTATTGTGCAATGGTTGACTGATCCTCTGTTTAATCCAAAGTGGTTTCAGGCATCGTTCTCCAGCTGTATGCTGCACTGCTTCAAAAGCCACAAGAGATAAAGGATTAAGATAAGTACTCAGCTGACTTTATCATACATAATTTCGGCATTGGTTCATTTTTTTTTTCCTGAAGGATGAACATGTCAGCCAAAGTCAACTGATGCCATCTGTAACTGCAAAACTAAAAATATGCCAGTGTGAATGGACAGGAAAATCAAGGCATATCCATCATTGGCAACAAATTCTTCATTGTGAAAATACATCCTTTGAGTCCCAGGAAGTTTTATGTACAGTAACAGATGAACAACAGAGATCATCTGTAACTGATTACCTTAATTACTGGGCTAGCCTAACCTTGGTAATGTTCAAAAATTAGTCTCGTTCACCTGGAGGTTGAGTGGCCATTAACTGAGCAGTGAGTACTGGGCTATTAAATGTTACTCCTCAGGGAGCTATTTTTAACAATAAAAAAAAGTAAATTTGTGCACTTTCGTGTCTTAAATGATCAGCTTACTCGAGCAAAAGGTGCCAGCTCTGAGAAAAGAATACTGGAATATCTGCTGATGGCTTGGCCAGGGTCAAAGACTGATATTCTAGGGAAGTGAAGGTGGCTCTGTTGTCCAAGATATTTTGACAGTAGACTTGGCAAAGACCTGAAGTCTATTCTCTCTAACTGGGATGCTTCTGATGTGTAAACATAGATGCCTTGATTCAGCAAAGTATTAACAGATTTAAAGCCAGAGAAAAACTCTGTGTTAATCTAATCTAACCTTTTCCTAAACTAAAGCCATCAGAAGTCCTTGAATTCCAACAGCTGCTCCAATAAATTTTTTTGCAATATATCCAATTTGAATTTAGAGATTTTTGGTGACAGATAGTTCCACTAGCTAATGACCATCACTGTCAACAATTTGCACCTTTATTTCTATGCTGCATATCCCTAATGTCAACTTCCAGTCGATCTTACCAGATTCTTCTCCTCTTGAATGAGTAGTTCTCTGCTCTCAAACTTCTGTTTCCCAGAAGTAGCTACTTACAATCTCTAATCAAATCACTTCTTTCTTAAGCTGCTTTAAATTTATGATATTCATATCCTCTTCAATTTCACAATGCTCTTTACAGCATGTGAATGCAAGAACTGTTTGAATTATCCCAGTAGTGCTTCCGTCAGCACTAAGAACACAGATCATACAACCTCTTCACTCTTACTTGACATTGCCTTGGCTAAGGATATTGGCTATCCTTACCCAGAAGGACACAGCGGCCTCTAAATCTTTGACTGACTAGTGACCATGAACTAGAAGCTTTCTAGAATCACTGTTTCATAGGACACAGATCATGCCATGAGCAGGACTACAGTTTTTGTTCCTAGACAAATTACCTTAAATGAATGTTTCTATGTGAGTGCCTTTGGTGTCCTTTAATTGCCCTCAGCATGCCAGTCTTTTTGTATTGATGACTTTCTATGCAGTATTTTCCACCTTCAAATTCTATGAGTCATCTGCCAATGTTATCAGCAGTAATTCTGGGAGTAATTCTACTGGCATGGTAGCAATTCAGGACCAAACCGTGCAGAACCTCACTAGAAAAATACCCATGTGACAATGGCTTGCCATTTACAATTACATTTTAAGCGCTTGACAGGATCTTGATTAACTTCTTTCACACCATGTTAATTTTGTAGGTTTAGCTGACAATTAAAAATGCTTTGTCAAGTCAGATGACTTCTAAAAAACAAACCCAATGCCCGTTAAACTATTAAATCAGCTTTATCAAACATGGAACTTCATCAAAGTCTATTCTGCAGAAACCTTTAGGACTTGAACAGGATTATTCCTCCATTTAGATACCTTGCTGAATGACGACCATACACAGATGCTTATAAAAACAATCATGGCACTGAAAAACTATTATTAAAACCAAATTACAGTAAACAGGAAAAAACCCCCAACCCCTGAAAACAAACTGTATCAGGTGGTGCTCAGAAAACAATTTAACATGCTATTTTTGCTCTTGGCCAACTGAAGCCCTTTCTGAGTAGTGCTACTTTAAAAGAGAGCAGCTGATACAACTGCACAAAATGCAGCAGCTTTCAGTTTCTCTCTTCATCCCAGCATTTTGGAAGTAGGCTGAGAAGGCTCAAGTATTGGATTTTCAGCCTGCTGCAAGTTTTGTCATTGTTTTCTGATGTGTGCAACAATAACTCAGAGGCACTCTCTAGTTTGTATGCACCCATCCATACTTACTTTCGGGATTAAAAATTTTGTAAACATAGGTATTTTCTGTACTGCCACTGAAACTAGCGACATGGAACAAATGCAACTGATGAAAGATTGCAGCTTTCTGTCATTTGATAAGATGATGGCATTAGTGAATTGCTGGTAGGCATATCATATGATATGCTGGCACTTGTGAACGTTACCAATGCTTGCGTTGAGTCACAAGACTGTTTTTCTATGTCTTCTGAATTCACAGAGATCAGACTAGCATGTTTTGATCTCCTCCATAACAAAGTTTGCTTTCGCAGACTTCCCAAGTCCTCCTTAAAGTGTGGATTGAAAAGTATATAAAGGAGTGGATTTAGACATGCAGGCAGTGGGACAATCACTAGCAGTATTGACTTAATCACTTCTGGGCTGATAAAAGTGAGGTTTAGTAAGGAGGAAAAAGATAAGAAGGCCACAGGGCAATAAAGAATGCAATTAGTAAAAAGTAGCAAGGCTATATGTTTGACCATAGAGCAATCCCAAATGTTGTCTAGTTCTCCCTTTTCTAAACTACAGTAGAGCTTTGTATAAGCAATAGTCATTACCAGAAAACAGAGGGAGTTCAGCAATACCAGTGCTACCATGTAGCCCATAGCACTGGGTTCTCCAAATGGTAGTGGTAAACAAAGTGGAGAAACCCCATACTCGCTCCCAGTAAGGAGTGGTACCACTGCAATGATTAGTGCCAACATAAAGCAAAAGAAAATGGCAATTTTTACACTAGCAATGGAGGATTTTGTTTCAAATTTTGTAGCATGCTTTACAGAGAATGCACGTTCAAGTGCAGCTAGGGTAAGGAGGAAAATGGAAGCCTCTGAAGCAAAAATGGAGAGAAGGCCAGTTATTTGGCAACCAATTCCACTTTCCCACCGTGCTCCGTACTGAGCAAAGCTACCAAAAGTTGAGGCATCCACGCTAGCCAGTACTCCACTAGCCAGACCCATCAAGGCATTTACAATAGCTATTAAACCAATCAAAAGTTTTATGGAGGACATATACAATGGAGATCTGAAAACTGTAGCGGACACCAGTGCATTGCAAATAAAGGTCAAACCCACTATGGTCCACACTCCAATTCTGATCAGCCAGCTACCAAACAGATGGTCACATGGTTTGAAGGGACCTGAAATGACAAAATAAAAATGGCAAGGGAAACCCATGTAAACTTAGAAGTAATTTTGTGCTTTCTAAGACATTACATTTCATGCTTCTTGCAGGTTCTCAGCATAGCCAAGCAGTGAATTTCAGTCCAAAAGGGGAGCTAGAAATTTGCTCTTCCTTTGGAGTAATCCGAGACCTTGGTAACATGCTGCTGAATGCATGACGCATGTTTCATTACTGGTGCACGAGTCTTTGTCCCTCCACCTGAATAGTCTATGGTTTCTTTTTGCACCTAGCAGTACAAGTGCAATGTGAACGTCCAGTCTGTTGTTTCAAGAAATGCTGTGATGTTTGTCAGTGTGTGCAAAAAGCTAAAAAAGATACCTGTCACTAAACTAGGACAGGTTGCTAATGAGTCCTGGTGAAGTGCGATGTAATGGATATGGACAGATGCACTTTGCCTACCTTATAACAAGTCATTACACAGTCCAAGAAAATTGAGGCTGTCTTTGCATTTGGAAGTGCTGCCTTTTTGGTGGGGCTTCTGATGACCTGTGGCTGAAGTCAGGTCATTATGACTGAAGCCTGCTGTGTAGTCTCATCAACTTGAGGTACATATGCTGTGCGGTTGAAGCTGAATGCTCTGCAGTCTGAGAAACAGTATTTATCTTGGTATGAGCCAGCTATGCTCTCCCAAAGCAAGTCCTCCACAATGGTCTGGGCTTCTCTATGAAGACACAAACCCCGCAGCTGAGATGCACTCCATATGACTACAGTTGTTGCCATCAAGTAGGCATAAGCATCTATTGTGTCAGTTGGCAAGTTCTTCTAAGATACCCTTTGAAAGATCAGCATGGAAGCTGGATTTGCTCTTGGGTCTGGTGATAACTTACCTTGAAGACAGTGACGTTTTTGTGAACTCAGCAGTTATATTAAGGCCACAGGAGAATATGTGATGGTCAAATGGTTCTAAATTCTTTGGCTTCCTGCCTTTTCTATTCCTCTTTACATAACTTTTTAACATAAATTTTAAACTAAGTAATAAAAATTTATTATTATTTGCTGTTACAAACAAGAATCTTGGCTTGGAATGAATGCTGAAGTACTAGTTGTCACTTGGGTTTTTTTTGTTCATGTTTCACAAGGCAAGAACAGCTAGGGAAAATGTTTGCTGAATCAAGCAAGCAAAACTTATGACCACAGCTGTTAAAGCCAGAAGTGACCTTCCAAAGACATGTTTCTTTCCTTGCCTTAAAGGAAACTTTCAGTGGAATTGGTGGCCTGTAGCTATGCAATTCAATCAATGTATTTCTTTTTCCTTTCTGCCACACTGCGAAGCCAGGGATGTGCTATTCTATAAAGAAAATGACAGTGCTGGGGGTACTTTGTGATGGACTGTGTACATCAATACAGTAGTGTTTGGTATTTCCTAGACATTGAATGAAACTGTGTGTTGTTCAAGAAGCTCAAGTGTAGAATAACGCAGTGAAGTTCAGAAGAATTACTTTAGCTTTGCAAAAGACTGAGTGAGCAAAGATTCTGCTCCCCTTTATCATCTGTGTCTCGGTAGAACAGTCTTTGCTCTCTCCTTCCCTTGATAAGGGGATCAACTCCTGTGAAAAGGGGCCCAGAGTGAGGATCTGCTTGAGGACTGGGTAAAACTTTTGTTACGCTCATAGATAAATTTAGTAGCTGTATAGTTTTCTGGACTTCAATGCAAAATTCTATATTATTGTGCAAAGTATTTGTATTAATCTCATCAAATTATTGTGAAACATCACAATAATGTTTGCTGTCCTAATATCAGACTCAGAGTTTGTTCTGCATCTAGAATACCTGGTAATGCTGTGCTTGGATTCCTATCTGTCTGGCAGTTTCATACCTGGAGAAGGTGAGCATTGCACTGAATGATGAGATTTCAAATCTTCTTCAAAGTCGAGAAAAAAATCTTCAAAGTCACGCTCATCTGTGGTGGAGAAAATACCCAGATTTGACACCACAATTTTCAGGAAAACTTCTTTTAGTATAAATTGCAAAAATGCCTGCGGTATTTAAGGCCTGGTCTTGTCCCTTTGCCTGCCAAACTGTGAGCAGAAGCAGACATATGCCTACTTGGTTTTGAATTACTGTACTCAGGACTATTTAAAAAGTTGGCACCATCGTTTCTGTGAAAATAATCACTTACAGGTACATTCTCTATTACCTAATTTGCAGTGTGACGACTGCCTAGGAAGGAGTTTAAAATATGAATTCTGCTGTTGTGCCAGGCTACTAAGAATTAACCCAAGTTTTTCTGTGTTTCTTATGTCATTGCTCTACCATGTATTCTTGGCCCTATTCTTGGTGGCACTAGCCCTGAACTCTGAGACTTACTGGTTTGCAGGAGTGGAGATAGCACAGAAAGCAGTAGGATGGTATAAAATATATGTGTGCACCTACATAACAGGTCAAGTAACAGACCTTGTGCTGAAGGGGAAGAAAAATACAGTAGTTTTATGTCCTGGAGAGCAGATGCACTCTCTGGTACCCAGGAAGTGCCAGGAAAAAATATAAGCAGCTATGCCAAAGTAGCCACATAAGCTCTGTGACTCATCCTGAAGCGTGTGGACAGCAGGAGAGCCAAGGATGTGTTGCTACTTCCAAAGCTGGCAAGAAACTAGATTTTGTTGGCCTGCCCTTGTATGGGCTTACGTACTAGCACCACTTCCCTGTCTCTCACATAAAGGGAAGACTTCACTTACCACATTATTACAGTTATTATTTGGATGGAAAGATGAGTGAGTGAGATTTTTGAGAGGCAGACCTGAAAAAATGATTTTGCTAAGCATAGGATTGTTTGAATAACATATATCAGGTGAGAGAGAGGGAGAGGCTGCTGTGATTGTAAAAGAATATTGGATTTGCTTAACATCACAGGCTGCTCACTAGCCTTCAGGTAGATTTAAAAGCCAAAGATGACAATTACCTTGAATTTGTAATAACCCAGCATCCTTCCTGTGAAAATCATCAATGCTGCTATTCTCATCTTTGTTCCACTGGGTGGAGATTTTGTAGTGGTTCTCACAAGCTCCAAAGGCACAGCACTGATAAGCATAAGGCATTTCCATGACCCTGTAGAAGAATAAGGAAGCATGCCATGATACTCGTTTAGCACCAGAGTTACTGGATTGTACTGCTCCTCTTCTGTTAGCATAAAGGAACTTGTTTAAATAACATGTCTGAAAGTAAAAGTATCTATGGGTAAAAATCAGTCATGATAATACAAAATGAGGACTCACAGATGAAATTCCATACCAGAAATGCAGATGTTTTCTAGGCTAATTTTAGTAAAGGCACAATGAAGTTTTCTTATGCATTTTCATGGGAGATATGAAGGTGGGAGATATGTCCCTTGCCAGTGAGTGAATGTTACTCTTAGAGTTGTATTTCTGTTCTATGATTTTGAATGATTTTACAGTGTACCTCAACAGTTTCTCCATGTTACTTTCTTAATGGTTTCCTTTAAAAAAGCAGATCCAAAGATCACAACTGCATCTACCTACCTAACAAGCAAACCCAAAATATCGCTTCCCAAATGGAATTTCTCCAGCTTGGGGAGAATGAGATCTTTTGGAATTCAAACTTTATCCACCTCTTTCTACATACAACTCTTTTCACAGTAAGATGGCAAAAAGGAGATTGTCTTTTGTGCACAGATCAAGAAAGCAGTGTTCTAAACCAAAAGGTGAATGAATCAGAAAGGCACTGTGTGTGAGAACAGATGTCAGTGAGAAAAAGCTTTTACTTTATTAATTGTCTTAGAAACGAGCATGGTCATTGCAGGACACCAGATGCTCATTCCTAACTCTTAAGATCACTGGTATTCCTAACACATAACTGAGTATAGGTCAGTGAGTTTCAATGATTTTGAGGCTTTCTTTCGTCAGAAAATTGCTCATTTCTGGTATGTTTTGAATTTAATTCCTTTGGGGATGTGAAAATTCTGGGGTAGCATGGAAAAACTACATATGTTCAAGTTCTATAGACTACTTCTTCTATTCTTAGTTATATTTTATGCTTTGGAAGCAGAGATAGTTAATTTGCACAGTTCACCAACAGTACCTAATAAAACCTAACAACTCACCTTAATTCCAAAAGCCCAATAAACCAAAAAATTCAAAGATAAAGAGGTGATTAGAAGTTATTCTGACTTCACTTAAAAGGAATAAAATAGAACTAGATCCTCCTATCAGATTACTTTCAACAGGTTAATCATGTAAATGAACGTAATGAGCATTCCAAGGAACCTCTAACCCCCTGGGAAATCTGCAAAGAAATCAGTCTGAATCGGGCTCAGTGCCAACAGGGCTTAAACTTGTGCACTAGCCAAGAGCTCGGTACAAATGGGAACAAATGGAACCCTAAGCTCTGAAGTGATTTTTAAATTAGTGCATTCTGGGGCATTTAGACTCTATATACTTACATTTCTGTTGGGAATTAGCAACAATAATCTCTTCCCTTGTACCCAATACAAAAAGCTACATCATAAGATATTTTTGAGGTACTCCAATAAATGTTCAAGTTAACCAAGATCTAACTATCACAGAATCTCATGCCAGCAGATTTAAATATTTAATTTCTAACTCATTTCTGTGCATGCCATCTTTTAAAATAAGGACATTATCTCCATTAAACATTTTTGAACACATTTCCCTGAAGCCCTTCTTAAATAAACTATTATTAAACCCATAGATTACCACAGTAACCCATAGCTAGTCACCTGGACTAAAACCAATCCCAATCCCCAACTAGAAATGCCCCTTTTCTGAAATAATGCCCCACAACCAACAACAAAAACCCTTATCAAAAGAAACACTGACAGTTCTGCAAGGTGATCACTGCAACTTGCAGCTTCAGACCTTTTGGAAGACATTGATACAGCTGGGGAAATGAACAGCTAGTGGATATTTTAGGCTCAAGGGACTAAGAGAAATGTATTCTCTGGTTATTCAAACAGCTCTTTGTGCTTAATAATGACAGATTTCCAGATGCTGTTGCGCTTCTACCAGCCTGCTGGCCTGTCATACACTGAGAATGTGGACCTCTTACATTGTACTGGTCCACTACTTCGATGAAGTAGCCAAAAAACCCCACTGCTTTTAAATTATCATTAAAGACCAAGACTCCCATTTCTTATCCTCTCTGTAGGTTTTTCTAGCATCCTTTCTTAAACCTGAACAGTTTGGGGTTTTTTTCCCCCTTAATTACTAGGATAAACATATAGGCCTCAAATTGGTGAATGCTTCTGAATCTGTGTGCAAAGCATAATTGCACAGAATGACTGGGACCCAGAACACAGAGGACAAAACGTACTTTCCAATGCAGAGAAATTAGTATCAGTTTTTCTTGGTGACAGAGGAAGTTCTTTCTTGCAAAAGCTACATTTAACAAGAACAACAACAAAAAAATAAAAAGGAAGCAACTCTCAGCCACACAGTGCTGGAAGCAGTCCTTTTTGTGGCTGGTGCTTATTTGATATGGGAGATTAGATTTGGACTTTGTCAAATTAAACTCTTTTAGAAACACTGGCTGAATTTATTTTTATATACTGCTTATCTTACTGATGATATCTGTATCCCTGATAATTTTTTTCCTGCAGCAAGGAATGCCTCTTTTTTTCTGTTTTTAGACTAAGCAGCAGAGAACAAAAGGTCATTTTCCACCTCACAAAGGTGTGGGGTTGATGGTGAATGGGAAGGCAAAATCACCGAGTTCTTTACAGAGCTGAATCAAAGCATCAGACAAATAAGGAAGGAGTGGCTGGCAGCCTGACTTTACTTCCTCAAAGCTTGCCATAGCAGGTTGGGCTCGGTGCTGTAGAGCGTTCTCCTGCCATTGCTGAAGGTGGGGCAGAGGATGCTCAGCTCTTTGATGTGTCTGTGTATTGAACAGCAATGACCCATTTAGATGAGGAGGAAGCTTTTATACAGGAATTTGTCTTTAATGTTGTAACCAGTGTCTCGTTCCAACAATTACAAAGGGTGAAATTTCATTTTGTTTTAGATCTCTGTTCAAGTTTGGTTCTTCATGCATTGTCTGTGCAGTGACCCTGTGTGAGGTCCTGGCCTCATTTTGATTTAAAGTAAAAGTCCTGCAGACTCCAACTCAGGATTTTACCCCATTTTCTCCTGACTGAATGTAATTTGTTCTTACAGATGTTAATCAACTCTAGATACGATAAACATACTTTTTATCCCTTTTTTTAAGACTTAAGCTACTGCCTGACACATCCTTGTTAACTACTTACCCAGAATAAATACACTGTAGTTGCATATGAGCAATGTACATAATTTTACTGGTGGAAAAATCATATAAAGTACAATTTTGATAAAAGAAATAAAAAATCTTAGTTGTACATATTTCAGTTGAATAGTGGATTATTCTAGGACTACTACAGCACCTCTTATGCCTCTAGGCCATGGTATATACATCACTATATATTTGCTAGGTTGCAGTAATCCATTTTCTTGTGTTTATATTCTTTTAAAGAACCTTCAGGTATTTTAGAATTGTCACCTGCCTCAACACGTGGACAGTCAGTGAGAGAAGAAAAACTATGGCCGAAGCTCAGCCTCAGCCATTCATGTTTTCTTATGGTACTTGCTTCTTGACCTCTGAGACCCATCTTGAGGTCTCTAGTGTAAGAGGGACATAAAGCCTCTCGTACATTGAATGCTTGTGTTATAAAGTAGTTTCACACACTGTGATGAAGTCACTGCCCAATCTCCTCTGTGACAAACTACAAATATTGGGTTTATTAAGACATTTAAGGCATTGTTTCCTAACCTTGGAACCATTTTTTGCAGCTCTTCTCTCACCTTATATTAACACGCTATCATAGAAGTGTTCCAGTGTGGATCCCTCCAGTGCTGTATGCATGCAAAGCTTTTATCAGCTCTGCACTTCTCATGACTCCCTTATTGAGAACTCCAAATACTCCAGTCCTTTTCATTAGTGGCAACATCTCCTTGAGTTGTCTGCCTGCTAAGACTCATAGGACTTTTCCAGTGCAAAAGGCAAATCTAGTGAAGACATGAGGATGGAGTCTCCATCCTTGGAGATATTCAAAAGCTGTCTGGATGCAGCCCTGGGCAACTGGCTCCAGGTGACCCTGCTTGAGCAGGAGGGGTTGGACAAGATGACCTCCAGAGGTCCCTTCCAACCTCAACCATTCTGTGATTCTGTAACAATGTGCACACTGTTTAATTGTTTCAAATGCTATGATATCAAACCTTTTACAGTAAAACATGGAAAAAATGTATGTTGCACTTGGCATCCTCTAATTAAAATATAAAAATCAAGGGAGATTTAGAGGACACTCCCAAATACCCTGAAGTCAGAGGCAAAACTCTCTTTACTGTGATTTCTCTATGGTCATCTAGTGACTGGCAGAGCTGCCAATGATCTCTAGAGAACATTTCCTTCTTGTATCACAGAGCATCCAGCAAAAAATTACGAGCATCAAAATGTTTTAGTAATAATGACCAAGTATTACCTGAATCTTAATCAAAAGATTACAGAAAAAAACATGTTCAAACAAAAGAGGTCAAATATTTTGGAACTTCAGGAGTATATTCTTCCCTTGATATTTGCTGTGTTCTCATTAAATATAATGGAAGTTCTGTAAGCACAGTCCAGTAGAAGAAGGACATATCACTAAGCTGCTAGCAGTATTGTTTTAACAGCTTTTGAAACATATCACCAGGAAGCAGATGTGGCTCGTATTAAGCAAGTACTTGGGTTAATATTTCAAAACCCTTCATAGTTTCTTCAGTTAAAAGTGAGCATAATAAAAGAAGTCTATCATTTTTATCATATTTGTTTTAGTTTTAACAGCACAGATCAAAGACTGACAATACGAAGTAACATGCGTTACACACTGACACACCTTCCCTTGCACATGAACACAAATGTGGCTTATTAGTTTTAATGATATACTCACTTGAGCTCTGGAAAATTTTCAGATGATATCAAACTTTGTAGGGCATGATTTCCTGTTAATTTTAAATGAGTTAAACCATGTAGCCCCGTCACAGGAAAAGAGGACAAAAGGTTGGATGACACATCCCTGCATAACAGCAAATAAAAATCAGCTTACGGGTTTTCGTTTTTTTTCTTCAGCACTAGAAGTGTCACGTTGGAAAAACAGGTTAGACTTTTCTAACTCAATCAAAAATTACTACATTAAACAGAGGCCCCAGTCAGCAGAGCAAAGCTGCAGCACTGCTCGGAAGTATGCACCTATGTGTCTAGCAGAAAGCTAACAGTAATATCTAGTAGTTAGCTAAGTCTGTTGCCAAATTTGACTCCAAACACTCACAGTGCCAGTTTTGAGACTAGCAAATTAATTTAAAATCTGTTCATTAGTTTGTCTGAATGAAAGGGAGGCAGGACCAGAACAGCTTCCCACAGTTTAAAAGATTCAGTGGGATGCTAGAGGGCACGGCTGCCCTGAAAGCTCCCCAGGGAGCAGGTCAGGTGTATGGGGAAGACATGTGTTTCAGGGTAGGATGGGTCTGGGCTGGAGCAGATGCAGGTGACAGTTCTAAGCTGAGGTTTGTCCAAGGAGCTGAGGGAAGACAATGCAGATGTGGGAAAAGTAAAACAGGTGAATGAAAAAGTGACAGTGATCAAGGAGATATGGTAAAGTAATCAAAGAGGGGGAAGTCCAGAGGTATTCTGTTCTCTATTTCTCCCTCTCCCATTTATTCTATAGGAATAGAATCAATATTATAGATATTAATAAATAGAGCCTTTTCAGTCCTCTTCACAATTATCTACACTGCAATACTTAAGATGCTCAACAGTCAAGAAGGAGGAAGAAGGGGAGTCTGATGCTGCTGAAATGCTTTTATGCCCAAGGTTGAAGAGCAAAGTTCCTGTCTCTTGAACTATCTACTGAAATCTAAGGGCTAGACATAAAATAAGGTATGTTGATAGACGGGTCTTCCACCTATCTGGTTTAGTGTGTGTGTCCTCTTGATCACAACGTACTTAAATACCAAAGGTGAAATTCTGGTCCTACTGCAATGGTAAGAATGACCACTGACTTCAGGGTGGTCAGACCAGGGTTAGAGACTAGCATTTCAGGAAACACTGGCACACTGTGTTACTGCGCGTGTGTTAAAGGGCTTTTTTCTTTAACCCTCTCTGACTGTTCTATGCTATTGACCAAAGCTACAATTTATTGCTCACCTCACAAAGTAGGAAAGTTCTGAGGAGGGCCCCAAAAGGGACGTCACAGACAGTATTGTCTTTATGGACATTTTTCAGTGCACCATTCAGAGGGGAGGCTTTGCACATCGACAGAAATTAATACCCCTTTCCAAATTTATGTTTCCCAGCAGCTACTGGATTATCCATGAGCAAATGCCCAGCAATGTATGTTTGTGACAACCATGCAGCAGGAGGACTCCAGAGGAATTTTTTTTCATGTCTTCACCATACTCCCAATGCCTCAGGGATTCACCTTAAAGAGGCATTACAATGACAGTGGGAAGTAGGAAAAAGTTAGTAAGGACTGAGAAGTGCTTGTGAACAAGGCCTGCAAAATTGGCTGCTGATGTTTTGACCACTAACTGCTCTGGCTGCACTTACTAAAGAAAAAAACTATTCTATCAAATGAGGAACGATGAAATAAAGATTCTTACTGGAAAATGTTTCTTATTTAATTGGTAATCCAATTCCTTAGTCCTGAAACACAACTAACAGGAAATATTCCCCACTGCTACAAGAGACTAAACTGCTAACAAATTGAATGAAGAAAGGCAGATGCACTGATATTCTTTGTGGACCCCAAATCACTCTGCTTACGCAGTGTTATATGCAGCTTTGCCATAATACCTACGGGAATTGGTGAAGTACAAAAAAGTAGGCATTTAGATATGGATTCAACCGACCAGAAAGTTAGAATAGAGAAAGCCTCAATTTCTGCTGGGGCACCAAGTTATTAAATTTTTATATGTTCTTGCAAGAAAAATGTGAAAATTTAAATGTAAAAGATATACAAATACTTACAGTTTGATCAGAGATGGTAAAGAGGAGAAGGCATTGGGGTGAATAATTTTAATTTTGTTCCAAGCTAAATCCCTACAAGAAAATGAGTGGAAAATTACATACCCACTGAATGAATATGGAAGTTTTCATACCCTTGATTAGGAGGCCTAAATATAAAAAAGGTATTAATTACATGCCAATATTTTCAATAAACTTCTGAATATCTCATAGTGCAAAATCTTTTTTCCATTTTTAAATTATGTTCGTCAGTTAATGGTGTTAGTTATTAAACTGACAACTTCTTAAAAAGTCTTAATGCCTTCTACAGTCTAAGGCAGTTATTTTCAGTCTGCTTCCTAAGGCAGCAGAAAGAAGGGTGGGGTATACAGGCTACTTCTAAGAGGTCCTCATGATGTGACTAAGAACAGCAAATCCATTGTCCATAGGCTTAACTTAATCTCAATCTTCAGTGCCCCTGAAAAATCAAAGAGACTGAAAGCAACTCAAAAAAATGTATGGGTTTGATCATGCAAAAACTTAGAACAATGAGTAATTTCTTCACAAAATTACTCTGCTAGGACATGCGTCTGTGTGCAAACTAGAAACCCGCACATGACCGGACTCTATTTCTTAAGACACTGTTCTCTATAAAAAGATTTCATGCTATCTAGAGCTGATTATTACGTGAACCTGCCAAGAGATACCAGCTCTGGCTCGGTATCTCTCTCCATCTCCATCAGAAACATTTAGAAGTAACAGCTTTTATAGCTACAAGTTTACATCTTTGAATTCATTGCTGCAGATGCTAACCTTCACAATGTTTGTTCTCCTTTCACAGTTATGACCTAATGGGTGAAAGATCAAAGTGAGGAAAAACAGAAACAAGGATGATTTGGGGCATATAGCGAGCAGACAGTATATACCCCATGTTTTTAAGAACCTGGGTGAATGGCTGTTAGGGCTGTACTCACAGAGACCGAAGAGCAGCCAGCTGCTGAAACGTGTCTGCTTTGATTTCACCGATTTCATTGTGATGCAAGTCACTGAAATAGCAATAAGAATCTCCTCAGTTTCAAAGGCACTTGGAGGACACTTCAGGGTGTTTTAGTTTGTGTTTATGATCCACTTCAATATACTGTAAGGGTATGTATTTGGGATATGTCAAATCAGCCAGCAATAACCAAGGTAATGATGCTTAAACACATTTGTATATAGATACTTCTTTTTAGGCTTTTTAGGGTAGTTTGATGCTTACATTTTTTGGAGTTTTCTACATGCAGTAAAACACGGTAAATCTTCCAGCAGATTATAAGACAGATCCCTGTAATACACAAGAAAAGAAAAGATGAACATCAAAGTGATGTTAAAAGATCTTTCATTGTCTGCCTTCACACTCAATTTAAAACAACTTGCTTTTATCCACACTCACAGAAGAACAGAAATGTGCAAATTCACTTATCATCTCTCATCTGTCAGATTTTGATTTCAAACTGAGGAGGACAGAGGAGGGGAAAAGGCAAAATGTATTAACTCCATATCCTACATTTGCAAATTCCTTGCATTGTCTGAAGATTTCCTGCCTGAAGTGTAGACTTCTGCTGAATGTTTTACAGTAACGATATTGGCCATCTGCTCATAGGGAATATTGGATTTACATCACAGACTTCATATTCATCGTGTTTAAATTCTAACAGTATTTAAACCATTTAAAATAACCTACTAAATATATATACTCATTCAGAGAAGATCCTATATTTTTCTGGTAATAATCACAATGGACTGTAATCAGCTTTCCGTTCTACACTTTTAATTAAGCACTATTGCCTCTGATCCGTAGACTGTTGTATCTTATAACTGAGGGAAATGGTTAAAAAAATATTGGAAATAACTTTGAAATCAATCACTACATGGGGGGAAAAAAAAAACTAAAAAGACTTGAGCCAAAACTCAACAAATTACAGAATAACTGAAACATCTGGACTGATTTATAGTATAATATAACTAATCAAAACCAAGCCCAGGCAATTTGCAGAAATTGGAGGGAAAAAAAAAAGGAACCAAACACTCCCCCTCCCCCCAACAGTCTCATCCTATATATACATGTTGCCTAAGAAAAACTGAATGGGAAATTTGCTAGTGAAAAGAATATAGAAAAAAAGCTTATGCATATAATTAGGAAAAATGTCCTTTCCCACAGTTAATCAATATTATCACATAAAAGAGTAATCTCTTTTCACTCCCGTTTCAAATTCTTTAAAACTGGTTCATCTCCACCCATTTACTCCCTTGGTAAAATTTTATTTTCACCGTTACTATTCCAACAGGGGCATTTAGACTATTCTGTATTTGTGGAAATGGTGCAAGTAATGACCATGTGTGTTTTTAAGGTATTCTACTCTGCTTTTACTATGCACAAAGGCTACCATCAATTTATGTGCATTTTTGTTACAGCAGGGAAGATTACAGCCTCTTTTTGTATTTTTCACAGGTACACTGTGGTTTAAATCAGACATGACAGAGGAGAATTCAAGGGAGCTGGAGGCTTTTAGGCCAAGGTAAAAGATGTTTGGTATGTCTGGCGGACCGTGGCTGTTCTGTCTTCCACAGATTTGTGACTTACGTCTTCTTAAAAGTATATTATCAGCTTGAATTTTGTACATACTGACACTCCCTCTTCACACATGACAAAAACCCAAACAAACAAAACCAAAACCCTTCTCCCCCCAGTTTCTGTTAGAGCTCCAGGAAATACTTTACTTGTTTATTTTTACGGATTTTTTCCCACTTTGTTAGTACATGAGGCTCTTGGCAGCAGCAGATGGCAAGTGATTTCGGTTCCTGTGTTGAGGTGCGTACCCAACTGTGCTGAGGGTAGTCTGTTGAGGACTGCTGGGACCATGGTCTCACATACACCTTTACTGCAGGTGCACAGACACTCAGGAAGCCTCCATGTACATTAATCCACACTTGGAAGTATTGGTGGCTACGTAGGATGCATAAATTGTCTTTCAAAGCAGCATTTGTGCTTGTAGTGTTTGTGCATGTATCTGAGCCAGGAAGACCCTCCAAGATCGCAGTCTCCAAGTAACTTGTGGGGTTCAGCACACCATTATACTGTCTTTTATTGGAAGTCATTTGGAAATGATTATATTGAGTCTATCAACTAAAACTTAATTTTTTCTGGAAATGTTCATGACATCCACGCTGGTATTCAAATAATGTGTTATAATTAGTGCTATTTCAATGTTGGCCAGAGAACTAATACCAAATACATTCCTAGTGATGTAATACATAGAGGAAAGTGCTGTTGGCTCATTCTCAAAGAAGCGGACACGATGATTACTTTCATTAGTGATTAAGCAAACTCCAAGGAAATCTCCAAGCTAAAATAATATTGGATATTTAGCATAAAAACTATACCCCAACTATGCCAAGGAATAGTCTATTAAAATTTCAGTCAGCTACTTATGTCTGGTTGAAAAAGAAACTAAAAGAGGAGCATAACAAGGACTCAAAACTGCACTCCTTACTCAGTTATATTTTCCACTCACTCCACTGAATTATCTGTCTCAGTGAGGAAAAAAAACCCAGACTACTGTAGGAGAGACAGAATGAATGAAAATAAGGTAGTTCTGTTGTTTATTAAAAAATCAAGGACTGTTTTACCCCTTCCTAAAAATATGCAAAGTAATTATCTTTTTCAGGAACCTATGGGAAATCCTGACTGATAAGTGGGTTGTGAACTTCTTGAGTAACATGGGGGCCTGCTCCCTGAGCTGAATTCCTAAGATGTAATGTGATACACAGAAATAGCAGTAATTAGGTAATTTTGAAATCATAATGATTTAATTTGTCCATTAATTTCTTGCATTAATGTGATGTTAATAATCTTACTGAAACGTACAGCACTTGGAGATTAGGTAACTGGTCACAAGCTGATTTGGGGAGAGAGGTGATCTGTGCTCCTGTGAGTGTCCTGTTGAAAGTATTTGTTAAAAAAAAAAAAAGAAAAAAAAAGATTAGTTTTTAAAGATTGCAAAACAAATATATTTTTTTAGGACATTCTTTAGAATAAGTCAGTATCCAGAAAAATAAAACAAAGCAAAAATACTTCACTAGCACTTACAAACTCTCCAGACTTGTAGTCCCTGTCAGATCAGGAAACTCTGTTATCTGTGAAGCACCATTTAAAGTCCTAAAATTTAAAAACATAATTTCAATACAACTGTGGTGAGGGAAGTGTGGGATAACTCTAATATTGCAATATATAAAGAAAAATAAGAAAGTAAACATACAGAGTTCTGAGTTCTGGTAAGTGTTGAAAAGCAGATTTTCCAACAAGCTGGATCGGGTTATCATAAAAATGTCTGCAAAAGGAGGATAAAAAGACTTTTTACAAAAAATGTTTTAAAAGATTCTAAATATATTACATGATTATACTATAAGCAAATGAGTAAACTCTCTATGATGAATCACAGACTGAGCACCTCTGGCTGTAGCAGAGGTGCACCTTTGGGCTTTTCTCACCCACTAATCTATATCCATCAACCACATTTCACGTTTTGAATATTCAAGTAGTCATTGTTTTCTTGGTTTTAAAGCCAGAAGCCAGTCAATGAAATATTCCCTCTTCCTCCCAGGTTTGCAAAGATAGAAATCCAGATATGAAGAAGTTTGTTATGACCTGAGACAAATTTAAGGTTAGCAGGTGAAGAAGTCAGAACTTCACCTACTCAGAAAAAGTTCCCTTGCACTTTTGAAGTCATGCTGCTCTTGCTCATAGAATAATATTGCTCAAGATGAGTCACTATTTTTCTTACATTTATCTTACGATTTCTTATTTTGAGGTTTGCCCATTAAATGCATTCTCATGTAAGACAATGGGAACTCGGACTGGAATCCATCAAGAGTAATTTTTGCTAGCTTCTACATTGCCAGTAAAGCTAAGAGACTTAGAAGAAATAGTTCAAATAAAACATTAAAGGCCAGAGAACACTACTCGCTTCCCTTAAACATGGCATGCAAACTTCCATTCTTTCCACAAAGTTGGAAAGATACGAGCTTGTTTGCTTGTGTAATGATGTGCTACACAGTACGCTTACAAGAAGAGCTATTTGACTATTAGCCACAAATATGATACTTAGTTCCACGTTCTCTAATAGGAAGAGTCATTGAAAAGACTTATCACTTACATTGTAATAAGTGATGGATTACCCACAAATGCACGCTCAGGTATTGACTTGATGTTATTGCTATGAAATCCCCTACAAAAGGAAACATGGTTTACACAGTAAGAAAAAAAAAGTGAAGGCACAATCTGTATTCACAATGTACAACTTTTTTTGTTTGTAATAAGAGAAGTGTCTGTATGTAAAGATATGTCCTTGTTTTCTGGAATAAGACAGAACTGAAAAAAGCAAAAGAAAAGCAAAGCAATGGAATAGCTGGAATCCTGCACTTTTCTAAATGAACAAAACCATTCAGATGAAGTAAACTGCAAAATGGCATTTTAAAATTCAGATGCCCTCAGCAGGAAACTGCCTTGTAGCTGTATGTCATTTATCTATGTGTGTATGTTTACAGATATAATGTAAATACACACACACACACACACATGAACCAATAAGATTAATATTTAAATATTAATAATTAAATAAGTATCAATAAATAGTATATATATTCCCTGCTGTACTTGCTGAAAAGCAACTATTTCTTTTGCTGGGATAATAATGGATTGCACAAGTTTATCAAGTAAATGATTATACATTATATTGTATTATGCTGAGACTCCCACAAACACCTTTTTCTTGAAATATTTTAAATGTGGACATGAACAAACTATCCAAAGTAGTTGTGCCTGCTGGATAGAGGGCCAAATCTTTGTTTCATCATTAATTACTGGATTTTATTCATATGAGTAATTCTCCATTGTGAAAAACAAAAGACACAACTAAGATTTCAAAAGAACAATGATGATTTGTGTGGGAAACTCCCATTAGTTCAGTCGGGTATGAAAAAGGCTTCCCAGCTTAAATTTATGCATTTAGAAAGCCTCAAATTGTTCACTGATGCAAGCACACTTGGCCATTACTTGAACAGGTCCCACATTATCAGTTTTACTTGTTTAGGCATTGTGTTACTGCTGATGAGCTACAGAGCAAGGCTCTAAATCCCTAGTTCTTTTGCATGCAATAAAAACTGCATCATGCAGATGCAGACTCTAAGCAATATGAGGATCCCATTTAATCTAGAACCAGTAAACAGACTGGTTTTGTGGCTGCATTGAATGGGATTCCTTGCATGGCAGAAAAGCTAAGGAAATGGCATGACTACTTCCCAGGGCAGTATCTGGCCCCTCATCACCATTCTGACTTGAGTTAGGGTGAGGAAGCAGCCCCATCATCAGCCAAGAGCAGGCTCCAGAACATTTATGCCCAGAAGAGCCTGAAGCACTTTTGAGCTGGTCAGAAGAGAGCATGCTCACGGCTGCAGCCTGTGTCCAGGGGCACTGTACCCAAGTGATGCACTCTGTCTGAACGGAAGGCACTTTCTAGCCTGTTTGTTCACATACTCAGCAAAATAGCAGTGAAATCTATCTACACCTCTGGGTAAAAAGACTGTATTAAGGCCACACTGGGAAAAATGCTTCTATAGGTATCTTTAAAATCCAGTCTGGAAAACATTACGCGTGCATTAACTTTGGGTAACAGCTATACCCACTTACTTTGGAGAGGTAACTACTCCTACAGCTGAGACCTTGAAGTGCAGAGCATCTGGGACAATGGTGTCCCTGTAGCATCAAACAGATATGGCCCTGACTTGCTGGCCACTTGCCAGTAGATCTCCAGCTCTGACTGGCTGCCTTGGATGCCTCCAAGCTGTGGACAAAAAGCCATAGCCTGTGTTTTCAGCACAAATTCTGACAGAGAAATGAGGTCCCACCCAGAAACACCCTTACTAAGGTGGCCCTGCAATGAGCTAAACCTCTGTGGGCCTGGGTTCCCACTTGGGTGAGAACAGCAGGGCATGCACAATCTTGTGGGAGACACCTTGCACTTATAAGATCGGCTTCCAGGGCCCAAACAAAGCACTGAAGCACATGGTCTCATGGTCTGCGCTGGGTTTGGGATGTCAAGTTGCAGTTTCACACTCCAAAGATTTCTTGCACCTAGGAGCTTATCTGAAACAATAAGTTTGATACTTAGAGGTGAAGTCCTACAGGGGTCAGTAAGTATTTTCAAGCACATCAGGCACTTTGCTGGATCAGGCAAGGTGCATTTACTGCAAACCTGGATTATCCATGTTTGGGTACTAACTCCAGAGGTCAGCAAAAAGGCTATCCTTCAAGGCCACTGGATTTCATACCAATTATTTTAGCCAACAGATGACGTAGCAGCAGCTGAGAACAGTAGGGCTGAGAAACTCATAGCCCCACTCCCTCCTCCAGAGCTGCACTCTGCCAACACTGGAGGTGCTGAGCTGAAGTCAACACTGCCTGGGGATCCCTCCTTTGGAAAAAATCCAAGGTAGCTACTTAAAGCAGCTTTAAGATTAGTTTGTGATGTAGCAGGGGTACAACCACGTCCAACTAGTATATGATTACCTATTTTTTTTCAAAAATCTATGCTGATGGTACCAGTAACATGGTAAATAATTCAAATGGAAAGAATTCTGAACGTATGCATTTAAGTGTACATTGTGCGTATGATGTGTGAATATAATTTCGTTCATTTTTTTTATAATTCAACTGTTTCTTACAATAAACTTGGCTGGGTTCTTTTAATTGCTGATTTTTTTAAATGCAAACTATGTCTATGCATCCAGAAATATTTTATTTACAGCATTAAAAGGACTATCTATATTGAAAAGAAAGTGCTTTAATTTAATGGGGGGGAGGGAGGAAAGAAGGTAAAGACATTAAAATCTGGTGGACTAATGAGGGTGCCACACCTTCTTCTTCTTAGACTAGAAGACTGTGATATATTGAATTGTTTGCATAATCCAACTGTTGTGTTTGGGACTCAAAGTGAATTAATTGTGTTTATTATTTACTGTATTCCAAGGATGAAGTTCCTGGAAAAAAGCCACTGCAGAATGCAGTATAAAAGTAAAAGTTGTCAGAACCTGAATGCTCTAAACTGAATGTTGAAAATGATCTTTTATGCATGATGGCATGTTTATTAGTTTTTCCTAGGATATCAGTTTTTAAGGATTACTGATAAAATCACCAGCATTAAAAAAAAAAATAATCACACACTAGACAAAACATCCTCCTTCCTAATATGAGCTCTGTACTTACAGTTCTTTTAGGTTTGTTAGTGTCCTGATAGCAGTGGGGAACTCGTCCAGACTGTTGTAATTTAAATCTCTGTGTGAAAATAGATTTTATTATTTAGGTTATGCAATGCATAGTGGATAATACAGAATTGTTGGCATTTGTAATGAAATATCATCTTCCATGCATTGAATAAACATATCCAGCCAAAAGCCAGGAAATCCTCAAAAGTGTATGGATGTTTTCCAACAAACTCTATTTAGGGCACATTATCATTCCTATTTTTTTATCAGCATCCTATTTTTAGTTATATCTTAGCTATTCTGCAATAAAGACAACATAAGTGGATTCAGATACTACTATGGGATTTGCTGTTTTGTAAATTGCCCACCCTTTTCATTACTTGAAAGTATTAACAGGAAAAAAAAAATCTTTCAAACAGAATATTCAACAACTTTGTATGGTGAGCCGCATTTTACATGGCTAATACATCTTACTACAAAGGTTTCATTTGCCTCTGACTCACTGTCTAGTTGTATTAGTCTTTCTTTTTTTTCGCTGATGAAAAAACCTCTGAAGAGATTTTTCCTGATGGTTAAGTGGTAAAAATAAGACATACTGGAGTTTGGATGGTAAAAAGGATTGGGGGAAATCTTCCTCTGGCTAAAACAAGTGGAAAAACATACAGTAAAAATTCAACATTACCATTAACTGTATTGTTAATTTTAAGATTTGTCAATATTCATACAGAGAATGTTTGTAAACACAAAGCATAAAAATGATAGTTTAGCTAGGGTAGTGACCTCCACTTTAAGAACTGCTCTTGCTGCAGTGGTAATTAGATTTTACTCTGGTAGGCTGAATGGACTATAAGCCTACTTCTGCCCTCAGCATGACACGTGTGTCCTTTAGCATTCAGGAGACACCTGAAACTAAAATTGACATATACCACTTTACTGTGATGCTCTCTGGTACTACTTTGTGAAGAATATAGTCTGAAAAACTTGAGCAAAAGCCTTTTTGAAAAGGCAAAACACAAATCACAGTTTACAATAGATTGAAAATGAAACAGTATCAGGCTGAAGTAATGCAGGCAGGAAACTGCTGTCTGAACTCAACAAGGCTTTCCTTCCTGCTTGTAAATCTCTCTCTCCTGCTTATTGACAAAAAGAGATTACAGGCGTGTACTGTTTGGTTTTGCCCTCCAGTGATATGTTATTTCCAGACCTATGCGTCCATGCAAATGAATGATCTTAAAGCTGGCGTCCATCATTTACACCGAGATCTCTTTAGCTTATCTTGAAACTATCTGGAAACTAGTCTATACAGTATGCAATTACTATGCTTGAGGCAAGTGCTACATTCTCCTATTGAATTGAAGTGGCTGCACCTACACTTATTCCCAGGTTCCTGACTGTCCTCTATATTTTAATCTCTTGTGCCAGGTGGCTGGGACTGGGTTTGCAATTACTTATTCTATTGTTCTGTTTTTCCCCACTTTTGACCAAATGCCATGTGAATCTCACTTACAAAAACAAAACAAACAATTCCATTTTCCTTCTCCTTTTCCTGTCCCCCTTTCCGGTGCTACACTAAGGGACTTCCTCTCAACTCATAGCCAGCTAAAAGTCAAAATTGTAAAATTGCGATTCAGTGGCAAGGGATCAATGTGATCAAAATTAGTGATTAAAAAAAAAAAGCCCCAAACTTCTTGCTTTCTGATCTTAATGAAACATGAAAGTGGGCAGTACACAGTTCTGTGGATGAGAAAGCAAAAGTTACCTTTAGACTAGCATTATTCATGTTTGAAACTTTGTCTATTTGTTCCTTATAACAGGCCTTTTAGGCTCTGTCCTGGTTGGATGAAATACCTAAAATCTCTGAAAATGATGCAGCTGACTGTGGCAGGTGCCAGGGGGAAGGATACACAAGGTTTTATTGTCCCCATAGCATTTTTGGGGTCTGTGGGCTACTCTAGCAGACAACATCTTTATTTGACTAACTCTAGCAAAATACTTTGATAACCGTCAGCACCGCATTCCTGTTGTGTGTTCTTCTGTAGAATTATTTTTTGTTAGAAAACTCAAGAAAATTTGAATTGGTATGAACAGAACTACAGTGAAAACTTGAGGAAATGTCAATCTCTACCAGTGCTATTCTTCATTAGAGCTCTTTAAAGACAAAAACTTGGATACAACTGAAACATTCCTCTTCCTGCCTTGTAAAACACATGCATAATTCGGCCACCTGGCACTTTCGCTTTTTCCAGGGATAAAAAAATAAAACCATCTAATTTTATAACCCTCCTCTATGGCAAGACAGTTTCTTAATGTTAAAGCTTTTCATTGTGACTATTAGCTTTCATTGTGACTATTAGCTTTATTGATTAAACAAGACAAACAAATAGTACTAAACTAGGCAAATGTAACTGTTCATGAATAGCCACTTCTTTTTCAATGCTCAGTACAGTTTTCAACTGTCATTCAAACAATTTATCAATTGACAATGCTTATTAAAAAGGCAAACTAATTTTATAGTCAAAAATAGGATTTGCTACATAGAGTCATTGTAAACCATCACTTAGATCCTGTAGCGATTAGGCAAGCCAAAAACCACATTTGGCTTTTAGGCTATTTTTATTCTTTCAGAATATTAATGAAAACACTCTAGAAAAAAGGAAACAAATAAGAGGTCAACTCACAAAGTCTCTAGGCTGTGGAGCCCATCAAAGCATTTCTTTCCCAGGGAGTAGATTCTATTGTTATGGAGATGTCTGCAGGGGAACATTAAGCACACAGTCAGGAAAGCACACTACACACAGTGGACTTAAGCAAAACATTTTGATGGTTAAATCAAAAGAAACTTATTTTCAGGCATGCACTGATTATATGCAAGTCATGTTTTTGCAAGAGCATGTATAGGAGGCACCTTCAATGCCCTCCCCCCTTTCTCCTGATATCTCCCCACCCACGCAGGCTTCCATTGGTTTCATAGAAGGGATTTGTTTTAAAACCACCTAGATTGTTTAAAAAGGGTATATCCTGGAGTTCCAGGTTGGGGTTTGCGTGTCGAATACTGGGAAATCATAGACATAATCTCACTGGTGGTTAATTAACATGTCTTAAAAACTGTGTGGTGTGTGAGATGTATATTTGGAAGGTGTGTATTCAGAGGGCGTCAGAGGGTATGGCACAGCACAGGAGCAGGTGAGGAGATGGATAATACAGCAGACAGGAAAGGGGCATTAGGCTTGCAGTATGAAAGAAGACACAAAGCCACAGGACAAAAAAGTCATTGCTTCACTGAGATGAGTAAACTAACCAATCTTAGGAGTGCTGTAACTTGCCTTCCTTTGTAACTACAAAAATCAAGAGCTACTTTCTCAAATGTTTAGCAATTGAAAGTAATTTTTTTATATCTTTCAAACACCCCCCCCAAAGGCTCAGAGTGCTGCCTATTTCTAAGCCTTTTAGACCAATATGGAAAAAACCCACTCTACGTGAAGCTCATTAATGTGAGTATATACAACTTGGAGCCACTTCAGATTGTTTTTTTTAAAAAGGATGCCTTTTTCCCAGCAGATTTTCCCTTTTATTCTTGACACTCTACCCCTATAGTGGAGGGAAACTATGGGAGTAGTACTTTAAAAGAAAAGAAGGGCTGTGAATGAGGGGCTTCCAGGCCCTTTCCCTTCAATGCTTCATTCTACTCTGAAAATAATATTAAAGGTCAGAGACTCTCTGAATGTTCTGCTGAACCTACAGAAATTGAGTCTACCTGTCCATAAAGGCAGGGATTCTGATGGCAAAATGCAAATGTGCTGTGGGTTTTTCCTTTGCTAGGAAGAAACATAATCAACTTTTTTTTTTTTAATGACTACACTGACCTTTAATGCTTTAGTTAGCATGAAGAGTGCATCTTCAAATTCCAATTATGGTTGAGTCTTTAATGATAGAGCTTCAAACCTGCTCCAATTGACCATGCATTTTTGCACTGAGTTGAAAATTTGCCAGACTGTATAGAGTAGCAAACAAAAGAAAGCAGAACCACACACAAAGATTTTGATGAGCCAAAAATATCAGATGTTGTAGATCATGAGGAATGATTCAATTATTAATCAATATGAAGCCCAGAAGATTAGAAATAAGCAAGGCAGATCTGAATTAAGGAAACCTAACTTGAGCAGAAGCAATCAGGGCTTGAAAAGAAATTATTTTCTCCTGCATTTCTTAACTGTTCTCTTAACACTATATTTCTGGTAGGGATCTAGAGAACAACATTCAATCTATGAGAAGTATCTCATTACTGAGACAAGTCTAGAGGCTCAGTCAAATGACAAGTCCATCCGCTCCTTAACTTGAATGGGATTGATACTTAATGTAAAGAGAAGGCAAAGATTTTGCAGCACACGGCGGTTGTTACTGCCATTTTTGGTGCCCTATATGCTTATATGAATATATTAAGCACCAGACAGAGATGGTGACTATAAATGTCAATAAAGAACCCTGGAGTGTGCCAGGTTCAATGCTTACACTGGGGCTAGAATATGCTAAAATATGCTAAGTGTCTTACAGACTATGGTTTCAGGCAGCTTGTAAAGCTTGAATATATTATTCTCTCTTTAATAATGCTAATGTTTTCCAAAGTATCCTGAAATAACTTCTCCACCTCAGTTTCTCCAGCCAGTCTAGAATTTTTTCCACTTGGTTCATTCCCAGAAGATAAAAAACTGAAACCGCGGTCCACAATATACCTTCCAGATTTTTGTGCAAGCTACACAGGTTTTGTTTAGTTGCACTGGTATGCAAGTATAACAAAATACAAAACTACATATACTTTCCATGAAGGGAAATGCATACTTCTTCTACTGGACAGCATTCTTTCCAAGTCACCCAGAAAGCTTTCAGTTCATTTCCTGTTTCTAATCTTCCCTCATTCAGCCTTAGAGTCTTAAGAGGGCACACAATTCATCTCTTCCTGTTTGCTTTGCTGACCAGATGATAGGGTGATTTTTTAATGCCCTTACATAGTTCTTTATTGAACATGAAAACTTCTAAGCTAGATCAAAACAAGTGATTTAGCAAATGCTAGTTTAAATGTAGGACGATGTAAAAAATCTGCTTCACCAAGATAATTTTTTGAAGTTTTGGTTTGTAGTACATACACAATCCAGAAAACTTAATTTATATTTCAAAAAGAATGATTTCTGCAACAAACAAAACTGACCTCTTGGTAAAGGAGTATCACTAAGCCTAGTACAAATGTAAAAGGGAAACTGCAGATTTATAGCCCCAAGATATCAATTTAATATTAAGACTGTAAGAACAAAACAGATGTTTAATTAACCCATGTATATACCTATTTACCTATCATTTGCCAACTGGGGAGGGACTAGGGGAATATTTAATCATTAAAGATTGTCTCAAGCAACATCTGAATTAAACATTGCATCTTCAAGTAATTTATCATAAAGAGGTCAAAGCCTTGCAAAGAAGCTGAGATTGTGTCTAAAAAGCAATCAATAAAACTTACAGAACTACCAAACTAGAGAGGTTTCCAAAAGCATAGTCTGGTATGTAATGAATTTTATTCAGTGCCAATGTCATTGCCTGAAGTGCTGGTAAACTTCTAAAAGCTTGGACGGGAATTTCTGTCAAAGAATTATCGTCTAGCCACAGGTGTCTAAGGGAGACCAAGCCATTGAAGCAGTTGGGGGGCACATAGTTGATGTGGTTGGCATCCAGACGTCTAGGAGAAAAAGAAATAGAGAAAATTGACTCTGAGAAAAGAACAGTGGACTTACTTACACAATGGCTATCAGAATTTATCACCAAGAACACAACCCCAAAGGATGGACATGGGTTGCCACATCCATTTTTCATTTCCTGGAGATTCTACATTTCCACCTGGCTTGCAGCCTCACCCCTGAGACCTGACATGGTGTCTACAAGTCTCCTTGTCAGCCGGCTCCCTGCAGACAGCTCTCCTTTGGAGCCATCAACTCACTGAGAGCACACACTGATCGTTTTTGAGCAGAGCCTCTCTACAGACAGAGTATGAATTTGTTTCCTTTCCCAATTATTTGAAAGTATGGAATAAAAAAGTGCAAGAAACTCAGCCAGAGATTCTCTTTCAGAACCTATAAATCACTGAGCTGCAAGATGATTTGGGTTTTCATACACTAGACACTCATTCTAAGAGCCAAAAATAAAACTCACTTCTGAGTCTCTGTTCCCGTTTTACCTTTTCTTAAATATCGTTTATTCCAATGATTCTAACAAACACTGAAGTTCACATTTTTTTAGCAGTGGAGCAAAATGGTTTTTGAATAGAGATTAGCATTGCTAATACGTGTATTTATTTTGAAAGTTACTAAATACACTTCAGTCGCTGCAGAGCCAACAGAGGGAGCTCAACTGCACATTGTACCTCTTCAGAGTCTGCAGGTGATATCTTGCTCTCACACTTGTGTAAATAAGGATTAGATCTACTGAACTTTTTGCAGATGTGGCACTAGAAATACTATGTCATATATTCATTGGCTTTTGCTTTTGCTCTGTTTTGCTTTCCCGTTGTGATGCTTTCAGGGAAAGATTTAAAAGCGTGCTTCAGATTTCTGAAACTTTGTGAAACATCCAGATGGTGATCTGTACTCCAATACACTTTTTCTGCTTTTAATGTGTTGTAGTAACTTGTACCTTGTTCAGAACATGAAAGCTATGCTCTAAAACTTTTCTTGAAGATGTCTGTCCAGAGGAGTAATTAAGTGAATGGTGAAAGAGAAATAAATTTAAATAGATGTTTGAAAACACTATAGAACAAACAGCCACACCCAGGGTACAAAGAAGTAATTCTGTACAACCTAAATTCGGTCTGTTTGAGAGAAACGCAATACTCTTTGTGGTGAGCATACTAATCTCTTTATTTAAAGCTGCTTCCTCATTTACAGTCATGTAAAATGTCAGGTCCATTCTATCTCCTGCTCCATGCTGCTCCTACCTACTGCATGAGAACAAATAATGACTGCTAAGGCTCCGTGCCAGGCTGGCAAATAACTGAGACAAGGTCAGTTGGAACAAATTTATAAAGTTCAGTGTCAAAGCCCTTGTACAATTAAATTTTCAATATAATAACTGACATGGCAGGCAGCAGAGACAGAGCTTCCAAAATAACTCAAGGGTCTGTCAACAAATGGGTGAGGCTGGAAATGTTTAGAAATACTCATGCTGTACCTCCCCCATTCCCCAGGCAACAACCATGCTATGCCTGTGTTTTCAAATAAGGTATAATTTAAACGAGTAGATGAGGTTTCTTTGTGTTCAGTCAGAAGTAAATTTCTTCCCTGGGTGATGCTGGTATGTAAACTAAGAAGTTACAGTTGCCTTAGTTTGACAGTTACACTGATTAAAGAATAGAGGCTTTATTCAAACTAAATGTGTTACTGTATTACAGTTAACATCTTGTTCAATATGGAGCCTGCCTGTGCAGCTCTGACATCCCCGTTGACTCCACAGGAGTTACTCACAGGATGCCTGGCTGCGTGGTAAAGCCAACAGTCAGTTGTTTGTATGCAGTCCTGTGGCTGAAATGGCAATATTTCTGCTATCACCAGTGAGACCAGGATTTTTATCTTACCAATATTCAGTAGCAAATCAAGGAACTGATTTTTTTTATAGCTGAAGTTTCCAAATATAAACCCACCACTGCCTATGTAAACAAAATACACAACATAGAAAGAAAAGGAGGAGTGCTGTAATATAAATGAAATTCTAGGTAGTTGAATTATTGTTTAAATAAAGCAAGAAGCTACAACGATTTGTGCTGCAGGGCCTATAACTTGATTACATATCCTGCAAGTGCTTGTAAGAAGTACTGCCTCAAGTACTCTTTGGTTATCTAATCTTTTTAAAATTTCCAAGTACTGTTTTCCCTCTTGCAGATATTATAAGGTTTCAGCAGTGGTTATGTTTCCTGTCATACTGTAGGTAATGCACACTGATGTATAAAGCATTGAACATAATCGCCGTTTTCAGCCAATTGTTTTACATGTGTTGATCAAAGTTTTGGCACTTCCAGAACTAAACCCATTAACTCACAAACAGGACCCTATTTAGAATTGAAAATAGATAGATAACATGTGGTGAGTTTGAAAGCTGCTATTATATTCCAGAGGGAGCCAATTTAGGGAAACAGAAATACTTGATTTCTTCTGATAGGCAGCATGTAAATAAAGCAGCCAGTATGAAATTCACCATGAGCTCACTTAAAATGTCCAAACCTTTCAAAGTAAATGCTTGAGCTATGTGGACTGTATCCCACTGGTGTTTCCTGTGACATACTGCAAATGCTACAGCCATGTGCATAAATTATGAAAAGATATTATTCATACAGAATTGTAAACAGGGCTCATTTATTGGTACTCTAAAATGGGTGAAGGTAGATGTTTGAAAAATATTTGATTTGCAGTTTTTTGATCAATTCAATATGACCGGATACTTAGTTTTATGCCACTGGTAGGTTTCTAAGGGAATATATATTTTTTTTCCTTTTTCTGAGTTTTTTCTCAAGAGCAAGCCCAGCTACAAACTGGATGTACCCTGTGATCATGAAATTCCTTCATGTCCTGTTGGGAGAGTCTTGCTCATTCATTCAGTGTTAAATCAATGCTAGATGTGGGATCAGGAAGGAGGTTTCTCCCACATCATTCTCCTCTCTGAAATAAACAGCTATTACATGGATTGTCTCTTCTTGCAATGGATGAGGGCCTGAATACAATGAAGGGACCAGAAAAGAGGAGAGCCACAAAGACAGATAAAGAGTCAAGGACAAAATGTTTCTTCTGACATTTAAGTTTAAAATAGGAGAGGTGAAACCAAATGAAAAGGGGCTATACATAACAGGTAGGGGAGGCAGAGAAGTGAGAGCACACGAGGACTGATTTTGGGCATGGTGGATTAAAGAATCTCCTTTAAAGAGGCTCCTCCCTCTCCTACCACCTTCCTCTTCTCCTGACCCGGCTCTGTTACATTGGGAGCCACAGCGGAGCCTCACCCCAAGGTATGGGTCAATGACGGATAGGGGCTGGGGACATGGCCTGTCTGGGCCCCCCCCCCATATAACAGGCAGGAGGCAGTCACCTGCAGCCCCACCATCTTTGCTAGCGTGTGGTGACACGGACCATCTCAAGGGTTTGTTCACAGGAGTTTGACTAAAGCCTCATTTAAATAATGGCAAGTGACATCGAAACTGGCTCTGAAAAGTGGATGTAATGAAAATATAGCTGGCTATTGTGAGCCATGTTTTTCAAACATGGCCTTTGACGCAGGATATCCCCTTCAGTCCACAGGGGAAAATGATAGGACTATTGTAAAAGCTTAATTACAACACACCAGCACAGCGGTTCCCACAGCTCACTTTCATCTCTGCCCTTGTATGGGCTTCTACAGGACTGATACAAAGAACCCAGTATGGCAACAGCAAGACAAAAAAGAGAAGTCACAAGTCACAGTTTAGTAGCGTTTGTTTCTGTCCCACTGCTCAGTTTTACATCAGGAGGTCTCTGCGGCTCTGGGAGTTTCAATCCTTAGTGTTTCTCTTTGTATCCAAACATGCTGCTCGTGTTTGGTTAACCTGCATTTGAGACGGTGGGCCAGGATGCTAGCACGTTGCATAAAGCAAACCCAGCCAATTGTAATGCTATGTTTATACAAAGATTGGCTATGATACTGGGTACCCTCAATCCCCACAGGTGGAAAAAAGTGGAAGCCAGCAGGAGTTGTTGGGCTATCCTAGGAATCTGGCTGCAGACTCAGATCAGGAATCCACAGCTAGACCGGCACATTTGGTGTGGCTGGGAATGCTCCCAGGTCCTGCAGCCAACTGGCTCGGAGTGGCCCGCGTTACGCTGGTGACCTCTCCTCGCCTCCCAGGCGAGGTGGCTGTATGCAGGGCACCTACTGGGGACGGTCCCAGGGGCACAAGAACTGCCAGATGGCTCCCGGGAACAGTTCACGCAAATGTTATTTGGCACGGGTCAAAAGTGTGCCAAGGACCCTGTTAACAGTGCAGCAGGACAGACTGTCATGGCCAGTGCCTGGGAGCACTCTGAAGCACTGTTTGCTTTGCTAGGCTGGCTGTAGCCACAGTCTGTCACTGTGTGGTGCCCAGGAGGATCTTCTTGGAAATCTAGGGTGAGCCTCTGTACTGCTAACCACTCCAACAGTGGCTTCTTGTCCTCCTCTCACATGTGGTGTACGACCTGGCGGGCTTCAGCCATGCAGGATGATTTTTGGCTAGCAGTTCTGAGGTTGAGAAATTTGTCTGTCCCTTACAAATGTGACAAAAAAAAACCCCTTTTGAGATTACTCAGAAGACAGAAAAGAGTCAGATGCCTAGTGGCTTCTACTAGATGAAAGAAAACATCACCCAGTGGCCTGGAATTGCTGATCTAGTTTGGCCTATTTGCACCCCACTTTGAAAGCAACTGGCCCTACAGATGGTTGAGTTAGGGACTGCACCCAAAAAAATTAGTAGCACATACATTTTAGGGAGCCTTGCACCTCTGTCTTCCTCCCAGCTGCTTATCAAGCTAGAAAAGCGTGACTGAGAGAGGTGGTCTGTGATTGTACTAGTGCTCCATGTTTCAGTCACTCTTGTGTGCCCCTGGGCTCTAGTAGCTCGGATGGTTAAGATGTGCAATAACATGAGCAGACTGCAACGGTGAGTTTTGAGACATCTTTGCATATGTG